TGCTATGGAATTGTGGATTGTGTCGTTTGGTGAGACACCAGCACTCTTTTACAGAGAAGACTGGCGATTCTTATAAAATCACAATCCACTTGCCCCCATAGGATTGACTCATAGCAGTTAAAGTGGTATCAAACTGCATTAATTCTACAATGTAAGGACAGTCTAACCTTTCCTTTGGTGTGCCTTTCCTGCATCTCTTTCACTATTCCCTGCCCAAGGAAGCTGAGTTCAAGGAGGCTTTTCCCAGCTCCCAGCCACCCCTGAACCAGGGTGACCTTGGCCCACGTTCCTGGCATTCCTGGCCTTGACGCCGAAAGAGTTACTAGCGGTCACAAGAGACGGCAATGCCGGTGGGCCCCTTCCCTGTCCAGCAGCATCAGCAGCACACTCCTTCCAAGGAGGAGGAAGAACAGCCTTTTGAGGAGGAGGACTAGCCCAGTCTAGTGCAAAGGGCCTAGAAGAGAAAGAGCTGGGAAGACACAAAGACCCAGGTTCCTCCTCAGCTCTCTAATCCCTCCTGCTACTCACACTTTCTCACATTACACAACTCTCTGTGGGTGCATCTATGCTGTAGAATTAATATACTCCAATATCACTTTAACTGCCATGGCTCAATGCGAGGGAATCATCAGAGGTCTATGACACAACATCTTTTGCCTTCTCTGCCAAAGGGTTTTGGTGCCTCACCAAACTACAATGCCCAGGAGTCCAATTAAAAGCCAGGACAGTTAAAAGTGGGGGTTAAACTGCATTCATTTTACATAGTGTAAGTACACCCTGAGTCAGCACAAAATTTAAACCCTATGTATGTTTGCTCAGAAGTAAGTCCCGGTTAAAGAAATGAGCAACTAGCACCAGACCTTTCGGTGACCTCAGCAAGCTGCTTTATTCCTTGCTTCCCATTTCAGTACCAACACAGGTCAACATTTCTCTAATTGTTTTTCTCTGTGGCACACAGAACCCCCATGATCCACTCTACATCCTGGTGCAATTTGGAGGAGGATGGACCACAGATGATGGGACTTGAAGTATCTTCACTCACTTGCATTTCACTCACCGAGACCGCTGCGACCCTCATCAATGACTGATCAAGACCAAACTTGGCACACAGAGCCCTCATGACCCACTCTACATCCTGGTGCTGTTTGGAAGAGGATGGACGATGGGACTCGCAGTACCTTCAGTAACTTCCTGAGACCACAGAGAGCCACATAAATAACTGATAAAGACCAACCTTGGCATACAATGCCTTTCTCAAATAACCCAGGCACCGATGAGTCCTCAGCAAACAACCCAAATAAAATTGTTAATCGGCTTTCCAGAAAGAGGCCACACTGGAGGGCCACACTCTTTGGCCCTCCAGGTGTTTTGAATTTCAACTCCTACAATTCCTAACAGCCGGTAAGCTGACTGGGATTTCCAAAACACCTGGAGAGCCAAAGTTTAACCATGCCTGGTTTAGAAGCTAAATAATAACACAATTTGGGTTTCTTGTGTCTCCCTCCTCCCACAAAACTATACCTTCACCTTCAAGAAGTGCTCCACCTTGCAGCTTCTTCCTTTGAGGTCTACCTAGGTGCACATACACACTAGAAACACATGTGTACTAGAGTTGCTTTTTTCGTGTCAGGAGCAACTTGAAAAACTGCAAGTCACTTCTGGTGTAAGATCATTGGCCATCTGCAAGGACATTGCCCAGGGGATGCCCAGATGTTTTACCATATTTGTGGGAGACTTTCCTCATGTCCCAGCATGGGGAGCTGGAGCTGACACAGAGAGTTTATCCATACTCTCCTTGGATTCAAACCTGTGACCTGTCAGTCCTGCCAGCACAAGGGTTTAACCACATTGCACTACTGGAGGCTCCATTAGAATGGATTGAACTGCTTGCATTCCAGAGTGCAGATGCATCCTGAGATTCACCAAGAGATAAGACTAATAGCTTTAAGATCCCAAAACAGGCCCTGACTTATATACGTAAGTGTGGAGAGGGGTGGCGGCTCCTTCTTTGGAGGTTTGAAGCAAAGGCTGGTTGACTGTCGGGGATGATTTGATTGTGATTCTACATGGAGTTGGACTACATGGCCTCTTCCAACTCTAGGAAGCACATATATATGGAGCATATACAACTCTCCTTTCCTTTATTTTGCTTTCACAGCAGCCCTGTTTGGCACCTCCAGGGAAGAGAAGAATCACCAATTTAGGATTATCCCCGTGAATTCTTCACATCTTGACATCAACCTTCCTCCCTATGGATGAGGGACACTGAACAGTTTAATGCAGGAGGTGCAACCGCACTGCAGAATGAATGCAGTTTGACCCCACTTAAGTCCAATGCTAGGGAAATATCAGAGTTGTAGTTTCAAAATTGGCACAGTCCTTTGCCTTTCCAACCCAAGAGAAGTTCTTCAACTCCTAGGGTCTTTGTTGAAGTTTATAGTTTTAATGGCTGAAATTATAGTTATATGTCATTTGTAGTAAATATGTGGTGTATTGTTTTATTATATGTGAAGCACTGAATAGAGCTTCTTTAAATCCAGATTCTGCCTCCTGCAGTATTCTGAGGATTGTAATTTAGCGAGGCCCAGGATCTCTCTGGCTGAGCAGTTTAAAGGCCCCTCCCTAAACTACAATCCCCAGAATTCTGCAGGAGGAAGAAACCAGATTTAAAGTAGATTCATGTTCTAGTGTGATGAGGTCGAGTCAAAGTACAGACATTCCTAAAGTTACAAACATCCAACTTACAAACAACTCCTAGTTAAGTACAAGGGTGAGACAACAGGGAGTGAGGAAAATCTGCTCCTAGCAAGGGAATTTCACTCCTGGAAGAGTTACTATCACAGGGAAAAGGTGTCTCCACTGAAGCTGTATCCGCAATCATTTATTTATTTACTATATTTATATCTCACCTTTCTCAGCCCCAAAGGGGACTCAAGGTGGCTTACAACAGAGGCAATAATTCGATGCCTTAAAACAAATCAACAGTAAGTGGACAACATTCTATTTACTACAAGCCATTTTTTTTTCAAAATCCAATTCTCACAGGGACAGAAAGAGGTGAAATCTCCTGATCTGGGGCACGGGCAGTAAAACAAACACTGCAGGGGTATTAATGCTTCCCTATGCCATATATATATACACACACACACACCCACCCCAACCACAGGAGAGTTAACACTTCCCTATGTTACACACACACAAAACTACTATATATGTGTTTGTAATTATTTATACACACACACCACAGGAGAGTTAACCGTTCCCTATGTTATATATATACGCACACCTCTCAGAAGAGTTAACCTTTCCTTATGTTATATATATACACATACACACAATTACTATATGTGTGTGTGTAATTATTTACACACACACAGCCCACAGGAGAGTTAACTCTTCCCTATGTTATATATACACACACACTTACTATATGTGTGTGAAATTATTTATATACACACACACCGCTCAGAAGAGTTAACCTTTCCTTATGTTATATATACACACATACACACAATTACTCTATGTGTGCATATGTGTGTGTAATTATTTATACACACATACCCCACAGGAGAGTTAACCCTTCCTATGTTTTATATATATACATATATATACACACACTAGGCTTGGGCAATCCATGGTTCTAAATGGTTCTAAAGTACTTACAAAACTAAAGTTCTGGTGGTGAAAATTTCAGAACTCTAACAAAACTTTCAAAATTTAATTATTTCATTATTGGTGATTTTTATGATATAACCAATTAGGAACTGCCATTTATAATGACATTTTGAAAGTTTTGTTAGAGTTCTGAAATTTTCATCACCAGAACTTTAGGTTTATAAGTACTTTAGAACCATTTAGGCCTAATATATATACACACACACACACAATTACTATAAGTGTGTGTAATTATTTATGCACACACACCTCTCAGAAGAGTTAACCTTTCCTTATGTTAGATATATAGTATACACATACACACAATTACTATATGCATATGTGTATTTATACACACACCTCTAAGAGTTAACCTTTCCTTATCTTATATATATAGTATACACATACACACAATTACTATATGCATGTGTTTATACACACACCCCCCACAGGAGAGTTATCCCTTCCCTAAGTTATACACACACAATTACTATTTGTGTGTGTAATTATTTATACATACACACCTCTCAGAAGAGTTAACCTTTCCTTATCTTATATATATATATAGTATACACATACACACAATTACAATATGRGTGTGTGTATTTATACACACACCTCTCAGAAGAGTTAACCTTTCCTTATGTTATATATACACATACACACAATTACTATATGTGTGCGTTTATACACACACCTCAGATGAGAGTTATCCCTTCCCTAAGTTATATACACACAGAAATACTATATGTGTGCATAATTATTTATACACACACACCTCASAAGAGTTAACCTTTCCTTATGTTATATATATATATATACACATACACACAATTACTARATGTGTGCGTTTATACACACACCCCACAGGAGAGTTATRCCTTCTCTAAGTTATACACACACATAATTACTATATGTGCGAGTAATTATTTATACACACACACCTCTCAGAAGAGTTAACCTTTCCTTATGTTATATACACACACACACACACACTTACTATAGATGTGTGTTTGCACTTTCAAAATGTACCTCCTCCGACTGAGATACAAATCCAACTGGAGAGCCCACCTACAGAAGCTCTCTTGTCCCTAACTTGGGGACTGGCTGTCCTGTGACTTCAACAATGCAGGCAGCCCCCAAGTTGCATGCAGAAGCTTAAGATCCGTTTGCACTGAATCGAAGCCGGGGAGGGGGAGCCCCTTCTCCGCGGTCCTTCATTCATTCATTGGTGTACTCCTTCATTCATCCCCTGGGCTCCTCCTTCCTTTCCCTCCTGGACTTCTCCTCCTTCCCTTCCCTCCTCGTGGAGGCAGCTCCCACCCGACTCTTTCCGCGGGACTTACTTGGGGCAGCGTTGGTGGGGCTCTCCCCGCAGAGAGCCACCAGGCAAAGGCTCCAGAGGCACAAGGCAGCCAGCAGCGCCCCTCTTTTCCCCATTCCTGACCGAGTGAAGCGCGAAAGAGAAAGACAAGCCACAGACAGAGAGAGAGAGAGAGAAAGAAAGTTTCCCCCAAGTTGAGGAGGGAAGCGCAACAGGCGCAACAGCAAAGCGCTCCCGCTGGCGTCTCCCCGCCCTTAAGTTGTGTCCTTATGCAAATGAAGGCGAGCAGCCATTGGCTGCGCCCAAGGCCGGACAGGCGGGGCAGAGGGGTGTTGGGAGGGCGTGGGCCCCCAAAACGTCGCCTATTGGCTCTTTCCTGTAACGTCACGCCTCCAGAGTTTTACTCCCTCCCTCCGACTTGGGGGCCCTCCAAACAGACGCTATAGCCCAGGATCTGAGCCCAAGTTTTCTGTTTATCCCAGAATATCTGACAGTGGGGATTCATATAATCCAGTTTAAAGCAGAAAACCTGGGATCTGATCTTGGGATATAGGGCCTTGGGGCCCTTCCACATAGCCATATAACTGAGAATATAAAAGCAGAAAATCCCACAATATCTGCTTTGAACTGGGTTATCAGAGTCTGCACTCAGACAGGCCTGTAGCAAAAGGGGGGGGGGGTTAGGGGTTCAACCCCCCCCCCCCGGAAATGTTTCAGATTTTTTTAAAAACCTGGTTTACTCATGAATTTTAACTGGTTAACCAAATCCCCATGCTAAGTCTATAAGATGCAAAAAAATAAGAGTCCCTCCAGCACTATCTCAGGCAAATATTGACAATTTATTCACAGATGCAGGCGAAACGTCAGGAGAAATGCCTCCAGAACATGGCCATATAGCCCGAAAAAACCCACAAGAACTGAGAGATTTATTCACACTGTTTGGGACCCACCTACCTGCGTGACCGCATCTCTGTGTACGAACCCACAAGATCTCTTTGTTCATCTGGAGAGGCCCTACCCACGATCCCACCTAAATCGCAAGTGCAATTGGTGGGGACGAGGGATAGGGCTTTCTCGGTAGTGGCCCCTCAATTCTGGAACTCTCTCCCTAAGGACATCAGGCAAGCCCCAGCCAGGATAACTGCATGCCCATCCCCCTCCAAACACCTACCCTTTTCACCTGGTCATGCCCAGCACTTTTTAATTTTAATTATTACATTTGGCCCTGCCACATATTTTAATAGGATCATGGTGTGTTGTTAATGTTATTGCCTTGTTTTTGAGTTATTTTGCTGTATTGTTGTTGTTGTTTTTACTGTTGTATTTGGGCTCGGCCTCTTGTAAGCCGCACCAAGTCCTCCGGGAGATGGTAGCGGGGTACAAATAAAGGTTTATTATTATTATTACTGTCATTGTGGGATGTGTGTGTTGAATGTTCTCATTAAGGAGGCCCGACTTGGTGGAGGTGGTTGACAGGGGCAGAGCTGCAGACTATTGAAGGCTGCTCTGCCCCCTGCTGTGCTCTTTGCTTCAGCGTGAGCTAGGAGGCAGGTTTCAACCCCCCCTGCGCAAAAAATTTAACCCCCCCCCCCAAAATTTCAACCCTTCCCGAATTTTTTTTCTGGCTACGGCCCTGCACTCAGATAATGTGGAATTTGGGTTGTTGTAGGGTTTTCAGGCTATATGACCATGTTCTAGAAGCATTCTCTCCTGGCGTTTTGCCTGCATCTGTGGCAGGCATCCTCAGAGGTTGTGAGGTCTGTTATCTGAGTCCACACAGCCATATCTGGGATTTTATTCAGCTGTATATATTCAGCAAAACAACAGAGAGGAAACAATCAGGCCCATCAAATCACTCTCAACAAAAGATTCCCCCCAGGCACTTCCAAGCCATTAAATGCTAATCAAGGTGGTCAGTTGAAACATTCACACCTAGCTGCAGCAGACAAAAGTCCTTTGTCCCACCCTGGTCATTCCACAGATATATAAACCCATTTTCCTACTTCCAACAGACCTCACTACCTCTGCCATAGATGCAGGCAAAATGTCAGGAGAAAATGCCTCCAGAACATGGCCATATAGCCTGGAAAAACCTACAACAACCCAGTGATTCCGGCCATGAAAGCCTTCGACAATACAGCTGTATATATTTTCTGCCTTGATATTCAGTGGACCCCTCCACACAGCCCTATATCCCAGAATATCAAGGCAGAAAATCCCACAGACCTCACAACTTCTGAGGATGCTTGCCACAGATGCAGGCGAAATGTCAGGAGAGAATGCTACTAGAACATGGCCATACAGCCCGAAAGACCTACAACAACCCAAATCCCACATTATCTGAGTGTGGACTCAGATAACCCAGTTCAAGGCAGATACTGTGGTATTTTCTGCCTTGATATTCTGGGATATAGGATTGTGTGGAAGGGCCCTTGTTCTGCAGAAAGCAGTACTAAGTGAACTTAGTGACTTTTAAGGCAGGCTGGGAGGCCCCCAGTGGTTTATCATTCCACAAGAGTGTATTGAGTTCTTCCAAGGAAGCCATCCCCATCCAAAGGGCAAGTGAGTGCAACTAGGGACCCTTCCACACAGCCACATAATCCAGAATATCAAGGCAGAAAATCCCATAACATCTGCTTTGAACTGGATTATCTGAGTCCACGCAGCCATATATTCCAGTGGGATTCTATTCAGCTGTGAAAAAGGGGCCTAGGAAAGAAGTTATTTCAGGGCTGGAGAAAAAGAAGACTGCACTGAGCATGCAATGTAAGAATAGTTGTTCAAAACACATTACTCTATGAGCCCAGATTATCTGTTTATCCCAGGTTATCTGGCAGTGGGGACTCATATATTCCAATTTACACCAGGGATCAGATCCTGAAAAAAAGGGTAATGAGAAACACGATTTTTGTTCCTGAGTTATAAATGTAATTTCCTAATTGGTTCTATCATAAAAACATGAAAAAGGTTTATTAAACTGCAAAAACTTTGCTTTTGTGGGACATCCCGCAGCACTTTTTGCGATCCTTTTTCAATGAATATCTCATAGAGTCTCAGCTGATTCAACATAGTGTGTGGCACAAAAACAAAGTTTCTGGAGTATAACAATTACTTTCAGAGTAAGGACCTCACAATTAAACAGGAAATAATGCCTTCAAAGTAGGAACAGAAAGTTTTTCAAATGTTGTTACTTTAAGGCCCTTCCACACAGCCCTATATCCCAGAATATCAAGGCAGAAAATCCCATACTATCTGCTTTGAACTGGGATATCTGAGTCCACACTCAGATAATATGGGATTTTCTGCCTTGATATTCTGGGATACAGGGCTGTGTGGAAGGGCCCATTGTGTTATTTTTTCCTGGGTGGTTCTGGGCTCCCAGTCCAGCCTCATCTACTGTGCCATATAATGCAGTTTCATAATCAAGTTTAATTGCATTATATGAGTCTATGCTGCCATATAATACAGTTAAAGTGCCTAATGAAACTGCATTACAGGCAGTCCTCGAGTTACAAACATCCAACTTATAAATTACTCATAGTTAAGAACAGGGGTGAGACAACAGGAAGTGAGAGAAATCTGCCCCTTGGAAGGGGAATCCTCTCCTGAAAACGTTATTGGGGGGAAAGGTAAAATAATAAAATAAAAACTTTATAACCCATCCTATCTCCCTTAGGGGACTCAGGGTGGCTTCCAAGCAAACATGCAATGCCTATATGAACAAAGGATAAATATTTAAGCAGAAAACAATACATTGTGCAGTGAATTAACATGTCCATCAAATAGTTATCATTGAATAATTATCATTAAAACAATTTAAAAACAGCTGAGGAAAATGTCATATCTGTTCCCTTTCCTTTCCGTTTAAAAATCATGTCAGAAGCAAATTTAAAATATACTGCAAGTCGCCATTCCAGCGGGAAGTTAACAGCACTCCATGGAGTCATGCTGGCTACATAACCTAGGAGGCATCTACAGACAATGCCAACTCTTTGGCTTAGGAATGGAGATGAGCACCACTCCCCAGAGTTGCACACAACTAGACTTAATGTCAAGAGGAAACCTTTACCTTTAGGGTCGTCTTAAATTGGAAATGTCTTGAATACACACAACAACAGGGTTTATAGCAGGCATGGGCAAACTTCAGCCCTCCAGTGCAGCTGTTAGGAATTGTGGGAGTTGAAGTCCAAAACACCTGGAGGGCCAAAGTTTGCCCATACCTGCCTTATAGGGTGGACAAAGGCTCCAATGTATATGTATATAGATATAGATATAGATATAGATATAAATGTTCTGTTTATTTGTGGGATGTAGTAAACAAAAACAAAAAAAAACACAGAACGAAATGACCAAATTTGGTCACAATACACCAATTGAACCAATGTATTTCCTTCACTCAAAATACCTTTAAAAAATCCTCCAAAACCAAGAATACATAGCAGTGCCTAGAGGGGCCTAAACAGGAATTCCAGATAGGAAAGAATTAGAGCCAGCAAACACTTCACAATACAGGATTCCCCCAGTCAGTAAGCAGCCAGACCTTGAAACTGCATGACTATTCAATGCTAATCAAGAAGATCAATTGCAACATTCACACCTGCCTCAAGCAAACAAGAGTTATTTCTACCACCATGGACATTCCACTGATATATAAACTCTTCTGTTGTGCAGCTTGATTAGCACTGAATAGCCTTGCAGCTTCAAGATCTGGTTGCTTCCTACCTAGGGTGATCCTTTGTTGGCCAGCTCAAATATTATTGAATACCCTTGCAACATTAAAGCCTGGCTGCTTCCTACCTAGGGAGATCATTTGTTGCCCAGCATCAATACCATTAAATAGCCTTGCAGCTACAAACCCTGACTGCTTCTCATTATTTTCCAGACCACCAGACTACACCACAACAATGTGTGGCCAAGCACGGCTAGTCCAATACAAAATTGTTCTGTCTGTGCCAGATTCCTGAAGCCATGCAAGGGCACAGTTTTAAAATGCTAAGGCAGAGTTCCTAGACACTGCTTCATCACGCCACTCAGTCATTGCCTCAATGTCTCCCTGGTGTGTCACAATCAAAGATATGCAGACACCCCAGTTCAGAAACAGCACTGCTCTTGCTGCAACTCTTTTGCATTTTTCTTTGTATTTTTTCTGTCTGAAATCTCACATTTTGATAGAGTTTTCATTCTGTAGAAAACATAAATAAAAGATTCACTAGCAACTTTGGCTTGAAATCCTAGC